ATGTCAGATGTAGTGATTTTCTATTCTTTATTGTTTCAAATCATTTACATTATAAGAGTAAGTCTTCCTCAAGTAGCCGGCTTGTTTCTGCTGGTGACTTGGGGCTAATCTGGATACCTGTAAAAGAACGAAAAAAATCTATAAGTAAAATTCAAATTATCATCTCAGAGTTCAACTCAAACGTTTTCTGGTCCATATGTATCACTGTGATGCCAGCTCATCGAATGAAATTCTATGTTACAGGTGGCCAGCATCAAGTCCAGGCATATCCCTATGGACAAGAACCAGCATCACTTCCTATTTTACTACGACTGTACCAAACAAATGAAATAAATAACAGCATTACTGTAGTTGACTCTCTGATAATTTGCCTCACTTCCCTCCACTAAAATCAACACACGACTACATATTTTAGGATCAAGTAATAAGCGGTACATATGGAGGTAGCATAGAGACAGTAAAGATATGACAAGCAACCCTCTAATGGAAACAGATACCAAAATTAACTTTTACCCAACATGACTCTACCATAATGTATGGATATTTTTTTGTTAACATTACATAAAAAGTCAAAACTTACGAGATTGATTCCTGTGATCATGAGAAAAAGGGTCCGTTTCTCATGGTATGTGCTGTGATGCCGATTCAGCATGACAGCTGACGGCTGCTTAGCTGAAGTCAAGCGCAGATGCAACTAATAGTCAGTCTTCCTGCAACAAGGGTAAAAACAGAATTTTGGTCTACATATATATCATGGTTACACCAACTCCTCTCTGGACTCTCTACAGTTTCAGGTAGCTGCATAACATTATACTCTCCATATGAAATTGTACTCACCATGTAAAACGATTCAAGCATTGTAGTCTGACTATAAGAGTATGGCCTCGGTATGGAGATATAATACTCATCAATATCCGAGGAAAAATATACATCTGCATCCAATTTGAATTTGACCTTTAAAATATGGAGTCCCATTCCTATCCCGTTATAAGACCAAAGAACTCTGGCTTTCTTCTATTAAATCATCTACGAAGAATAGAAATACAGATTGTCACCCATTTATCTAATAAAACACATCCAAGCTTTGTTTAGCATAAATCAAAAAAGTTTCAAAATTAAATATCACCTCTAATACTTTTAAGGTGTATAACGCAGAACAGAAGAATCAGCTCCCAAGCTATTATTCGTAATTTTTGCATGTAAGGATATTATACCTTGAAAAGTCTCATGTGAATGAAGGTAGAGGTGAATGAAAATAAAGAGAAAAGTTTTGGTCCAATATTTCACACATTTATGAAATTGCCAAAGCTGAGCTAATATCACAGACTTTAAAAGTAGTACTCATTAATGACATTAAAAAATAATGTCTCACAGTTTGGTCCTAACTTAAACACAAGAAGATTATTGCTATGAGAGATTGTCAACCATCATCTGATTCGGATGATCCATAATCCCCAGACACCAGGCCCCCACTTGATAGCAGACTTACTGATGAGTTTGGACTTTCAGACTTAAGTGTCTTCTGCAGAGTAGCCTGCTGAACACAAACTTCTACTCTACACTTTTTAAGCATCGTCTCTCCATCATCATCCTCTTCATTGCAGGGCTTTGGGGAGGTAACACTTGACATTTCAATGGGGGAGGGTGACACTGGTCTGAGTGGGCTCTCAGCTGACAAAGATGAGCGGCAAGGGCTTGAAATATCACTTGAGCCATCAGATGATAAAATTGATGGAGTAGATTTCCTAAATTTAACTTTTGAGCGAACTATTGTACTGATTTTTTTACGCAATTTGTGTTGTTCCTCTAAACGCTTTGCATTTTGGAGCCCGAGGAAACCAGGCGACGTCCCAGTGCAACTAGGCAATGCTGGTCGATTCATTATGTTGTCTCTTGCCATTTCTTGATTTTCAATCATAGCTGTAATTTGAAATTGGTACATTAGTCCCAAAGTACACAAAGCAAGAAATAAAACACTTTGGAAACAAAAACACAAAAAAAATATGAAAATATTTTACATTTTGAAGGTGCTAGTGCAAGTAGAGATGCTAATCTAGCATCCTCTTCATTTTCTGGAAGTAGATTAATTCCTAAAGATGATTTTTGTAAAAGCAAAGCATCTTTCTGTTCCTGCTTTATCATCTCCTTTTTCTTGACCTGGGTAGCAAATTGGCAATGATCAGTTGGGGATATTGTAAACATCCTTATCAAAAAGTACATAGCATTATTTAAACATCTTTAAAATTTACCCTAAATTTTGAGCGCAGTGCTGCATTGGCAGCAAAATCGTCCTTCCAAGCCTCTTCATTTCTATTCATAAGACGGCCGAGCACAGGAGCGACTCTTTTGGCGGTGCTCTCATCCTTGCTCCCATGTTCAAGTTTATACATGGGGTCATCAAAAAGTCGCTTTTGGGTGTCCTTGTCTTCTGGCACAACCTGCTCATTTTGTGTTGGATCCCAGCGATTTTCTTGTCTCCGAGCTCCAGAAACAATGACATAATCCAAATTCTAGAAAAACAAGCAGATGGCAAGTTAAGTGACATTTGCATGATTAATTTACAGATTAATTTTTTGTAAAACAGTTCTTACCCCTGGATCAGTTTTAATCTCAAAGTGGTTGTCACAGAGATGACACTTCATTCGAAACTGATACACTGGTGTTGTATAATACATGCCAATTTTCTTTTTTTCTGCGTTGTACCTAGATATACAAGTTATAATGGTTTAGAAAGTTCAGCATAACAATTTTTTCCAAAAAATTACAAGCACTCAACAATTACAAAAAAAACCTATTTTCAACTTACCTAACACCCATGCCAATATGATTTTTACAGCCATCGCACCATATATTGTATGGCATCTCAAATCGAATGATGAGAATGCCCATGTGTATTTTACGAGCTCGTTCTCGCAAGGCATGAGTGCCCAGAAAACTATTAAGACTTCCCTTCCGTGGATCATAATCAGGCGGGTAATAATGATTCTGTCCTTTGCGCTCTCCCATCTTGTTAAGGTGAGCTACGGCAACTTTCTCAAAAAGTGTATGTGTGAAAAAAACCGCTAAGAAGATGGTTCTCTTAGATTAATCTGTAAAAGAAAAGTCTAAGATAGAAAGAACTGCGAATGATGTGCTATAATCGAATGTAATTAGATGCAAAGTAGAAACGTTTTGAAAACAATTGTGTGGAGAAAAAAGGTTATGAAAAGCCATCGAAACCCAGAAAAGGTACATTGGACTTGGATTAAGCTTTAAACATATTTAGAATCAACAAAAATCTTTTTAAGGCAGTGTTCACTAAGAAATCACTTACATGACAATCTGACATACAGGCTACAGACCACATCAAATATCAAATAATTCCATAATTCACAAACGTCAACAACGACGGACGGACGATTCTCTCGAAAAAAAAGAAAAAGAAAATTGCTTCTATCTTCTCTTTGCTTGAAAGAAAAATTCATGTCATCGTTTTCAGATTTTCTGCAATCGTTCAATTTTTTAAAAAAAGCTTATTTTCTATTCTAATACGTTATTACTTCCAGCCCTTGCACATTTTCGGCAAATTATGAAATTAGACCAAATGACCATACTTGACCATACTCCCACAAGAAGGATTTAAAGACTTTATTCACCACAAAACAATGTTTCCGGTTTCAATTCTTCTTCTCTCTTCCGTTTGTTGGTTCACTGAGTGAAACCGCGTGCTAGTCGCTGGACTATCTTTCAAGATGGGTTTCCAAAATATCTGGTACTCTCACCCCAGGAAATACGGCCAGGGCTCAAGATCCTGGTAAGTAATTTTCTTCCCATCAAAATTTTCAGTCTGGTTGTTCGGAACTCGTTTCTGGTAGGATTGTGTACCGAGGTTTCTCACCGCCACGTCTGACTAGAACCTTATTTTTCTTTACTTTATACTACGGGTACGTGCTTCTTTAATGTACTTTATGCCTTATCTCATTTTATGCTCATTGTTTTACCTATTGAGGCAGTTTTTTCGTGGTTTATGTCGTTGTGAACATGGGTGCCCATGGCAACCTAACCTCCCAACCAGGTGGTTGTGTTGTTGATAGTCAATCTTATTAACTAGGGCTTCATTCTTTCTTGTAGTACACGTCATTCGTAGTTGCGTGGGGCTTTATTCTTGCTTGCATTCTGTCCTCATATCGCATTCGCTTCCGTTCGACATCTACTACAGAGAACGGTTGTTCCATGAACTGTTTACCATAGACTATAATTTGTTGACTCACTATTACCGTTCTTTACAGCCGATCCTGCGCTAACCAGCATGGTCTGATCCGCAAGTATGGCCTCAACCTCTGCAGACAGTGCTTCAGAGAATACGCCAATGACATTGGCTTCAAGAAGGTAAGTGCTGCTCAGCTCATTTTCCTAGTGTGTTCCGATTTGCTCAAGTTAAATTCATTCCCTGTTTGTCTCGTGCAGCGCTTCTTATACTTTGTTTCTTTTATGTTTCAGCTTGATTAGATTAATTAATTTTAAGGCTGCCTCCATCTACTCCACCTGTGAAGGTTTTCTGAAAATGTCATCCTGTCAGTGAACTTTATATTAAAAGCCTCTACAAAAATTGTCTGTACATTTACTTCTATTGCCTACTTAATGGACCGGCTCAATTTCATTGCTGAGCGACATATGTATCATGAATTCATACTTGTCTTGCAGACAAGACACTCATATTGATGCTCTGCCTTACTCTTGGACTTGGCAGTTTCGGCTTTCAGTGAACTTGCCGCTTGGCCCTTTCATTGTTTTCTATCGACAATTTCTCAATCAAGCATCAACATAGTTTTATCCTACATCCTATCAGCTCGCATTTCAATTACCGAAGATCAGGCATGGTCAGCCTGTACAGTTGTAAAACAGGCTAATATGGACCATACGGGGTAATGCGGACCACCCTCTTATTCCTATGTCCCGCTTCTGCTTGACTTGCGCAACCACTGAGCTGTCGCTCAGCATTGTCAGGAACACAACTGAGTGGTAGCACGATTCTAGCAGAAGCGGAATACAGAAAAAAGAGGGTGGTCCACTTTACCACGCATGGTCCATATTACCCTGATTTACGGTAGTCTTTAACCCCTAAATACAATCTCTTCAGTAAATCCAGCTGGATGAACTGAAGAATAAACTAGTAATGCACTGACCTCTAATTCTATTCCTGAAGACGCGCGAGCCTATTGATAACTGTATACGTCACTGCTGAAGGCAACTTCCACCAAATTGATAGTCCGCTCGGCGGCGCCAATGCTCAGCCCACGCCCCGTGGACGACATCTTCAAGATAAATACATTAACATTAAAGTGCAAGTGAAGACAAAAGCAAACAAGTGGAAGTACTTTCTCATACCATAGATGTTAGCAACTGCAGTGACAGTGGACACAGCTGCTTTCAATCAAGGGGTTCCAGTTGCACTGGAATGTTTCCTCCGCTCCATGGCCTGCTAATGCCTAATAATTACAGTAGAGTGGTAAACTGAAAACACTTAGGTGATGTTGCATAGTTTGAGTGTTGACTGATAAAACAATTTATATTTTCCACTCTTTATTCTGACATAATTTGTAAGAGCAAAAAATAATATATGTTGTATGCTTTGCTCCCATTATACAAGTAATAATGAAGGAAGCTGGATCACATTTTTTTGAAGCACAAAATCCAACTCATTTGACATGATAATTCATATGTGAATTCTGTGACTTGTTGGTAATCTCAGTGCTTGGCCAGCTCCCCAAAGTGGCCCGCTATATCTTTTCAGTCAGAAGACTTCAGCTTTGAACATACACCCAATACTGTTCATTTTCAATTAATTAACAGTTCTATGACATTCCAAATTTCATTGGTACATGGACCACACATGACAAGAACAAATAAGTAGAACCAGCACCATTTGAAATTAAAGGGATGACAGCTGCAAAGGATGGTGGATAACATAAATAACAGTGTCAAAAAAAACATCACACATAAAAGGATTTTCTTACTAAGACAGAAGGAATTTTAGCTATAGCTACAAATCAGAAAACAACCTCAGTGTGATGAAAAAATAAAAAGGGGGGAGGGGGAAACAAATAAACTTTGTCAGATATAACATTCATTATCTTTGAGACATGTTAGAGAAACGAAGAATCACTAGGTCAACCAAAAGATTAATTTAAAAAGAATGTTTCCATAGAAATCTTTCTGAAATATTGCAGTCACAAGAGTTGAGTACAGTTTACTCTACCCATTAAAACAATCCAAAGCCGTAATAAATTTTTTGATTAATTAAAATGACAGTATAACAGAAATATCAAAGTCCATGAACACATCTAAGCTGCATTATATGGGACTATTTAAAGTAGCCCTACAACAAAGGCTACAGAAAAAAAAACAAATATATATTAAGAACACTGGTTTACATCTAGTGTTCTGCAATAACCATCCTCTGCGGCAAAAATATTTATTAGAATGCTATGCATCTGGAAGAGAGGATAAGAAAACAAGTTATTTGGGTACTCTAAATAAGATCTGTAAATATTGATACTGGGCTGGTATGTACTTACTGTCCATGTTCGTTGTGTTTATTGTGTGGGGATGCTGTTGTCCAAAGCCAAACCCTGGAGGAGGGGTAGGTGTATTCATTGGTGAACTAGCGGGCCAGTGTGGTCTAGATGATGAAACAATAGCTGGATCTAACGCTGTCCAGTCTGGGCAGTTCCAACTAGTAGCAGCACCTAAAACAAATATTTCATCACTTAACACTGATAAGAACTTTTTTTGGGTCAGTTTTTGACAGGGTATGTTTCAATAATTCGATTTAATGAAAAGATTACAAATCTGATCAAATCACATACTTTTCTGGGCAGCATAACTATGTGAGGGAGCTTGAGACCCATTAGCACCAAGATTTGGTAAAAGAGATCTGAAGTTTTCAGGCCACTCTTTTGCGCTGGCAAACATTGAATCCACTGTGGTTTTAGACATACCTGAAATTTTTTTTATTTATTTAGATGATTATTAAAACAAATCATCAAGAAGGAAAGAAACATCCTTTTTCCACAAAGTAATGGGAGTGCATCTAGAAAAACTCTTACCTTGATTGAGTATGGAACCATTTGACATATATGGCATGTGATTTGCTGGCAGTCCTTGAGAGCTTTGACTACCACTGCTACTACTAGCACTGCTGTTGTTAGCAGAGTTACCAACACTGCCTAATCCCATAAAAGGTAAGACCTTGCTTCCTAAAATATGATACACATAAAGAAATTGTTAGACTTAAAAAAAAACAAAAAACACTACTGTCATCAACAATGATGAAATAAAGAAGAATGGTTCTTGCCTAAATTGCTGCTTGTGTTGCTGCTAGTAGGTGCAGTTCTTGGGATACCCAGACCAAACGCATTCATGTGATTGGGCGTAGGTGCGAACCCAGGAGGGGGAGGACGGCTGCGAGCTGCCATAGAACTATTCAAACCAATACCAAGCCCTTCCAATAATTTTGTGCAATTGGATACTTGAGGCTGTGGTGTCAACCTAGAAGATAATTTTTATTATTAAGAGAGAAATTCCTTCTTACTAGAAGTGAAGAAAATAAGCAAATACAAATTTACCTATGATAAAGAGGATTGTGCTGTTGGAAGCTATGTTGCTGATTTAGAGCAGCTAGTTGGGCCTGCTGGATAAGTTGCTGCTGATGTTGATGTTGCTGCTGTTGAAGGTGAAGATGATTCTGTTGCTGCTGCTGCTGCTGTTTAAGTAACTGTTCTTTTTCCATCATCTCAGCCAGACCTTTTTGTGTTTCATGGAATGGGTCAAAGCCAAGATCATCGTCTGTATGTCTTCTTTCACTATTATCACTGTTAAAGTAATCCTCTTGACTGTTATTAATGATTGAGTTGGCACTACGCTGGTCGAAGTGAAGGAAGGCGTCTGCTCTTTCTGTTGGACCGTTATTAATTATGTTCTCGCGGCTCACATCACTAGCGGGGAAGCCCACCTCCGGACCTGCAGAGGTAAGGCTACCATGTTGCAGGCGAAGCGCTTGCTGATGCTGCAGGTGAAGCAAAAATGATTGCTGCTGTTGCTGCTGTTGCTGTTGCTGCTGTTGGTGTTGATGGTGTTGATGATGTTGCTGATGTTGGAAAGCATTATGCATCAACATACTGGGATTTTCAGGCATGCGTGCAGGGCCAAATGTGTTGGATTGATGGGCGTATTGTTGCTCGGTTACGCCAGGCACTGAATTTGAATTAACTAAACTAACACCGGAATTTTCAAGTTTCTGTTGACCTGCAAGTCCAAGCCAGGCATGATATTTAGCCAGCATGGCGGCAGCAGAAGTCTGTTTATTTTCAGGGACCATGTTGTTTGAGCCAAAACCGAAGGCAGCTTGCCAGTCTTCAGATGAATGAACCGATGGCAAAACGTCAGGCATATGGGGGAGTGACACTCCATTAGGAGGAGCCCAATCGCTATTAGAAACTGAAATAGAACCAAAGTAAGCAGGTATGAGATATGGGAAAATAAGAATGGAAACAAACACAAAATAAAAAACAACACAAAACTATACCAGTGTTAGGTGGTGGGTTGACTTTTGTAAAGCCTGCAGAAAAGAAAGAGTTGTTATCTGGCTCCAGAAGGGATGCTGCTCTGTGGGAAGCAGAAAGGTGAGCTGGAGAGCTACGACCAGCTGGAGAAGACTCCTCTGAAGAGGTGGAAACTGGAGCTAGAAAATTTAGGAACAGATAATGATGATGGAAATAGCAAAAAAGCACTGGGTTCATTGATTGAAGATGGAGAAAAATACATACTTGAAGATGAATACAGGGTGTTTTCCAGTTCACCGAAGTTATTTTCCGTCAGATCATTTCTCCGACTTTGGCTTAGTCTTTCAGTCTTTTCTACTCTGTCAGACTTTACTGTCACATCTATTGTTTCTATTCTCCCTTCCAAGTCATCGTCATCGTCGTCATCATCATCATCATCATCATAATCCACATAATGATCAATATCTACATGGTGTTGTAAATCTGATGTGTTTTTATCCACTCTATCTCGTCTATCTATTTTATCTGTGATACCTGGTTTGTCATTTCCTTGATCCTGTTCTGGGTCCATAATTCTGTTTTTATCACTTTTATTTGCTCTATCTGAACGAGAGGATTTGGTACTGTTAGACTGATTTTGATGAGAATTTGATTTTCGATGTGCATCTTCTCTTTCAGAAGTCTGTGTTGAATTCCTGTCTTTTGATTTTCTAAAGATTCATGAAAATAGAAAAAAATTTGATGAGACAATTTAATTACAATTAGTACAATGACCCAACAACAATTTTTTCTAATTAATACATACCCTTTTCCATCTTCTAACCCTGAGTTGATGTTATTTTTCTTTTTGTTTTTCGAGCTATTCTGTTGCTGTTTCTTTTGATTGCTACTTTCCCCCTTGTTATTATTGGTATTGCCGTTACTATTACTGCTCGTACTACTATTAATGCTACTACTGCTGCTGTTGGTTCCATTTGATGTAGAGAGAATGCCAGAGCCGACTGCAAAGATAGATCAAATTACTACCAATACAAGTCCTTAAAAAATTAAAGGATGAAACAATGGACAGTCAGCTGATTAAGTTAGAGGTCTTACCAGAATTAATTGTGCCTGGTTGTAATGATGGCCATGCTTCTTTGCTTTGTTGTATACTAGGCTGTCCTGTGGATCCTACTGCTGAAGGAGGGGATGGTGTAGGTTTTCTGAAAATCAGGGCAGAGTTCAAACAAACTGTCAACAACTGACACTCAGTAATGTGTCAGTCACAAACAATACTGACCTATCTTTGTTATATGAGTTCAAAAGCTGATCATGTAATCTCTTTTCGAATTCCTGGTGCTTTCCTTGCTGCATTTCTTCCTTGGTAAAACTAGCATCAGGGTCACCTAATTTTAAATACCACAGGTAAACAAGATCCAAATTAATCTTACTGTATCAAAATTTGTCAAAGATAACTTAATCAATAATTAATCACGACTTCCATACCATGATCATGGAGATACATGCAGTCTGGCTTTGGACATACTTGATTCTTCATGAAATGAGAACAGTATTTTGTTGTACCTAAGGATGTCTTTATAGTACGACCATCCACAGGAACATTCTGGACAGCTTGAATAGCACGCAATGCATCATCCGGTTTGAAATATGTTACATAAGCACTAGCACTGGGACCCTACAAAAATTAATACAATAAAGTTGAAGTTTGTAACAAAAATAATTTACCTAGCTATAGTACTTGAAAAAAATTTGTTAAATTTTTAAATAAATTGCATCATACCTGTGAACCTGCATATGTTGTGCTCTGGTTGATAACAACTTTATGTATCTTCCCAAACTTCCCAAAATACTCATGCTTTTTGAGAACCTACAGATAGTTTAAGAGAAAGACTATTAAGTACTGAAATCTCTATCATCTACTGACAGACTCTAGATTACACCATCACAAACCTCTGGATCTGCTAGTCTTGTTGGCAAGCCCACAACAAAAACCAAATTCCTTTGAACCACTCTGACATTTGCTAAGTGTTTTCGATTTTCTGTAACTTTTTGCTTTCGTTGATGATCTTTATTACGTTTCTCCTGCTTGAGTCGTGATACCTCTTCTTGGCTAAGAGGCTTAAAATCCGCAGGATTTTCTGGGTAAGCCTTGCGACATGCAGGGCACAACCCATTCTCATCAGTGCGAATTCTATGCCAACAAAACCTACAAATCTGAAATAGATAAAGACAAAATCAATAAAAATCAAAAGTTCCTTTACAATTTGACTTGGATGGTAGGATCAGTAGGTAGAAAAAGGGAAGCTACAATGAATACTAACCTGGTACCCACAAGTGCAAGGAAAGAAATTGAGATCATCTACCTCCAGTGGTTCCATGCATAGCGGGCACTCAACCTGTTCCTCACCACACTGATTTAGCACGGACATGATTACCTTGGTATCTGCAACAAAACAAAAAGGAGTGAAAACCATGAACTCTAGAAAAAAAAGTTTTTAAGTCAAGGTGGAGCCAACTAAAATAGCTAGAGGTGATTTCACAATAGGAATGTCAGGCATTCACAAAATATAAAATACAAAACACTAAAGGAATCAGTAATAATTTAAAAATACTAAATCTCTTATGAAAATATGGGTGAATCAGTTAAGAATGTGTCACTTGACAGGAGTAGATCAAGGCATAAAAATTTGCTCCAGATAACTGTTGGAGAAGTGAAGCATTACACAGACAAAGTAAACAAAATTTCAAGACTACAAACTTGACAGAAAGTAAGAGACGGCTTAAAAGACTGAAAATAGGGCACACAACATAACCTCTACATGCTCCTGCAAATGTCACTTGCTCATTAGACACATTGATGAAGACAAAATGAACCAACGAAAATGTCTAGATTTAACACTAAACTATAATTAAGGACCAATGGAATTGAAAAATAGTCAAATATCAAAAAGACCCCTGATAACCTAAATGACAAAAAGACCCAATATGACAATAATGTAACAGAAGGTCATGTTTGTTGGGCCTGGCAGTAAACTGAGAATTAAAATACAAAGATGACAGGGAAAACGATTCAAATTAAGTGCAAACAGCAAAGAAATGGCTAAAATTTCTATTCAAGACAAAATTAGTATGACGGCCTCGGGCATAGACTGACCTCAAATAACGGAATGAGGGAACCCTTGGGCACCGGGGTTAATTATGGATTCACCTTAGAAAAGGCCACTGAACTAGATTGTTTCAAAAATGTTCCTTGAACTAGAAAAACGAGCAAATAACCAGGCTGTCAAACTGCCATGTTGGTTGGTTACTGCTAAGAGGCTGGCTTCACTTCGTCGCTAGCAAGGCTAAGGCAAAAGGTTTCTACTTTATCTATCGAACATGACCAATTTGAGCACAATGACAGCGATATCATTGACTAAAATAGGACGATGAAAGTGAAATTGCGACAGGAAGATGAGGGTCGTCCAAACAAAGCTCTTTCTCCAATCAGTAAAAGTTCAGTTAGGCCTAACATAAACTAAGCAATTTAACACCTATTTCGAGGCCTAGGAGAGTGGAAAAGGGTAATGTCACAAGCTCTTTAATTGTCATCCTCACGAACTGTGTAGAGGCTCCTAACATCATAAATACGTAAACTTACGGTCTTAATTTCTAGCAGAATCACTACCACGAAATTTTTAGTTGACGAAATCAGGTTCTTTGCGCATCTGATTGGCGCATAGTTTCTACAGCAGGATCAACTTGCGTACCAAAGTATTCTGTTTACAAGAAGAATAGTTCGGTTCTACAAATGACACCGGTATTTAAAAAAAACAAGAGTCAAAATAATGGATGCGAAAGACAAATAGAACACTGAAATCTTCGATAGAAGGATATAAACGGTATGTCAGCGTTTATTTTAGACTCTCTATTTATTCATTTGGGTACGTTCCTCACTGCTACCATTTATGGGATTCTGTTCACATAAGGTCAGATCTTTTCCAAACTGAATTGATGCTCGTCGATTTCTACTGCTTCTAATTCTAAAATCTTGTTAAAAATATACTTTGATCTCTATTCATCATTTTTCAAATTTTTCCTCGGTATTCAACAAATTTTCAAAAGGTTAAAATAAAGGGAAACTGATATGACTGTACAAAATTGCTATTCACAGACAGCTTTGCATTGCGAATAATCGTTGTTTTTGTCTTTTCTGTCTTCTGTCTGTCAAAAAAAAAAAAAAGAAAAAAGGGATACACATGTGTGCTGACAAATGTTGATATGATGTTTCGAGCTAAAAATGCAATTTGAAGATGATTGTTTTTAATTATTGCACTCATCATATTTGAGAGTTAGGTCTGATCAACCGTCTCCTTTTATAAATTTGTTTCCTATCATATTGTTTATTGTTGTCTTCACTTCATTAATGACCTGTCAATATTTCAATGTAAAAGAATGGTTATGTTGATTTTCCAGTTGTTCACTTCTATCATTATGGACTCCTCTGAGCATGAATCATGTGTTAGTGAAGTCAGCTCAACTATATCAAGGCTACGTTTGCATAACACTCAAAACACCAAAGAACCTAATGACGACAAAGACTCTTGTCGTAGTACTGTTGTGTCAGAATCGGCAAGTGGAAGGAATGTTGAATGCGAGTAAGTATTTGCCAGTCAATTAAGTATTTGTTTTATTACCACGACATTAGCAATCTATTTATGTGACTTTACTTTTGTTGGTTTAGGTTGCCACCTTTCACAATCCCTCACTCCAGCATTGCCCATTCTAATTTTCAAATACCAATAATAGGATATGAAGTCATGGAGGAGCGGGCTCGATTTACAGTATGTATTTTGATTTTTTCTGTATCCTTTGGGTAGTTTGGAAGCTTTTCAGTCACTCTACATTCACTTGGAATTTCAAATCTAAATGAGCCACATTTGCCAGGTTTACAAGCTCCGCATAGAAAACAAAAGTTATGGAGATTGTTGGTTTGTTTTCCGAAGATACACAGACTTTGTTCGCCTTCATTCCAAGGTATATGAGGTTTCTCATGTTCTATTCTGCGTAGTATAAATCTTTTGTTTTGTCTTATAGAAGGAAACAATTGGATTACAGTTGAAACGTGACTTCCCTTCAACAAGCTTGGCTCTTCCTCGAAAGAAGTGGTTTGGCGACAACTTTAATTCTTCATTTTTAAATGAACGTATTAAGGGGCTACAGGCTTTTATCAACTCCATTGTTGATCATCCACACATGAATGCATCTCAAAGCGTCCGTGAATTTTTCTGCCTTGACGAACCACCCTCATATGCTGATACAGTTGAAGATTCTAGAGTATGTCAATTACTTTCATGTGTTGGATCAGAGATTTGTGAAAACTATCTGACTCGGTATAATAATTAGTCTTCAATGTCCATTCCAGCCAATTTTTGATGCATTAGAGGAAACAATCTATCATCTTCGCTGCCAGTTACGTGATAAAGATTGGGAACTACGACAGCTGAAAAAAAATCTAGAAACATTCTCTCATCTAAGGTGAGAGGGAAATGCATCATTAGTTAGTATCCACCTGTACATTTCACAGTTATTAAATTTTGTATTTTTCCACTTCTCTTCCCTAGGAATTCTTCTAAGCTTTGTACACAGTGTAAGGAGGAAGTAAAAAAATGCGTGTTTGACAGTGAACAAGATTTGACTGCCTCTTTGAAATCTACAAACACCTTAGTTTTTGATGTATGATGATTTGTTTTTAAAAGGGCCTTGTTGATCCTTATCTTACTTCCTTACTTTGGACCAAAAACTTGTATAAGCCTTGTCATGCGGTCACTTTGCTTTTTTAAAATACAAATACACACCCTTAATATAATAAGTGTACAGGTATATTTTTGTAATGTTTCTCGTTTATTTTATGCAGTTTGTTATTGTCTTAGATTATAGTTCAAATTATTGTTGGTATTATTTAAATATTTTTTGCCCTAGTGGCTTTTGATATTCAAAATTTCTTTGCATATATAGAGTACATGAAATCTACCTACTACTTAAGGTGTTTGACCAAAATATTTGACTCAGCATTTTGTTCAATTGTTATTTTCATACTTACATATTCTTTCCTACAAAAAGTAATAAATAACCTTTCATATCCTGTATTAGCATTTACACAGTGTTGAGAAAAGAAATTTTGTTGTAACTGAGGAAGATTAATGTTCTATATCTGTTATTATCTTGTGCCTTTCGATGTGTTATCCGAACCCAAGGAACTAAATGAATTCTATCAATCTTTAATGTCCTTGATATGGACCTGGGGAAACCTATGTGATTTCTATGAGTGATAGGGTATATTTTGGAGCAATTGTTCGTTATTTTGTAAATATTAAGTTAAATATTTTTATTACCCTTTATCGTATCTTTTGCCTAATAAAAATGGATATTATCCACGGAACCTTTTCTCTTTTCCCCCCTTTACAAAGTCGCATCGCACCTCATCACTGCAAAGTGGCTCAGAAGTGTCGAGGTTCGGGTACTTGACCTAAAGCCTTCTGTCTAACAAGTGCGCCGCCTGCTCAACTTGCACCACCACGACCACCACCACGCCCCGTCTGCAATCATCAATCAAAATAATGTCAATTTGACGTAAATTCGTCAAAATTTCATCAAATTTGGGGGTACATTTTCATCAAATTGACGTCTTTTTCGTCAAATTGACGGTGTTTTGATTGATTATTGCAGACGGGGACGACCACCACGACCATGCCCTCGAAGGGCAGCTCCGCCCGGCCGCAGCTTCCGCAGCGTCGCTCCGCCCGCCCGACTGCTGTCCCGCCTCCACCTCCAGTCTGCCTCGGCCCGCCGTCCGGAGAGCACGCCTAGCACCCCCCGACGAGCCTCCCACACAACGGCGCCAGCGACGTTGCTCGCGGCGCTCGCCTCGCCCGCACCGCGGTGCGCCGGCCGTTCGCGTCGTCCACCAGAGTCGACCCCGCTCCCCCCCCAAAAATGTGTAAAGACGGCAACGATCGAAACAACCGATTAAAATTGTTCACTCTCGATCGGGGTTACAAAGGACACTCCAGAGATCACAACGGCACAGGTTTGGCGGGCTGTACCTCCCTGTTGTGAACACGTGCCTCAAATTGCACTACCGCCCGATTCGCCCCCAGATAACTTCCAGCGCATCGTGTGCAGTCTGGGAGAGGGCCCTTTCCTCTGTTGTCCCCCCCCCCCCCCCCCCCCGCGGGGACGGGGCAGCATCATGCCGTCGGCGGATCCAGGACGTGGCGGCGAGCAGGCCGACATCGCCGTGCGCCTCTTTTTGTAAAACGGGGACGGCGTACCTTCAAGGGACACGACAGAACACGCAGATCCAAACGAAAATATGGGATAAAAAATAGAAAAAAAAGAAGAGGGGAGAAAAACCACGTGGATTTACTGGCCGGTGGAACTGTCAGGCCAGCGAAAAGCGGCTTCCAGCGACAGCGCTGCGCTGGAGGTGGACCGCTGGGGCCGATTGCCGCCCTACGACGGACTCTTCATGCTTACTTCGACTGGAGGCGTAAGAGCATTTTCACGTTTGGTAAGTCTTCGTCGCCACCGCCCCGCCGTGTTGTCAATACTTTGCTTTTACTTTGGGGCGCACTGGCCGGCGCGTCTCTTCAAAGGGACACTGCCGGGGAATGCGACTAATTGGAGGAGAACTCCGGCTAATGAGATATGGACAAAACGAGAGCCCAACGGTCGCCACTTTTTGCTCATAAATGATACATAAATGAAATGAAAGAAGTCGCTCAGGTCATTCAAAATTCATATGCACACCACCGCGACCTCATGTGTGGCGCGGTGAAACCATATGTGTGGAGTGACCAAACCAAGTGTGGAGCAGCGGCCAAGCGTGGGGGACGCAGGGATTGGCCTCAGCGTAGCCCAAAACCACCTGAACGTCAATTTTAGGGACGGATGTCATCGCCGACCTCACAAGGTCCCCGACGATGTCCCCAGGGTGGCCCTGGAGGTGCAAACGCACGGACAGCAAAATGGCTGCAGCCGGCTGCAGCATACCCGAAAAACTGCTCAGCACTTGGGACGAATCGGAGCCGTTCTATAGAACTCCGTCACCCTGTCCGTATCTTCACTTAAAAGTCTCCCCACACAGCACAATGGCACCCAAACGAATGTGAGCAAACTCAGGCAAACCCCTTCTGTTCTCCCATTTTTGTTCCTCCTTTGTCATGCGGTGCGGCTGTGTTGGCCAGGGGTGTACAGAGGGTAGGTATGGCACCATGCTGCGGGGACAAGCAGGCCTCGGGCGCCCGCTCCCGCTCTGACGCTGTGCAGCAAGTCAACAAGAGCTGTGTGCGCCGATATATCCCTGGTGTATGGTGCCCCCTCTACAGAGGGCAGACAGAGTGAGGGGGTGGCGGGGTATAGGGTAAGGCGTAGCTTCGGAATCGAGCCAGGACGCGGGAGAATCTCGTGTGGCAGAGTGTCTGATTTCTCGCGGGCATCCATCCCCCTCCCCCTCCCCCTCCCTATCGGGTAGTGAATGAGGGGAAACAGCGTCAAAACGAAGCCCCGGAGAGGCAGGGGCGCCCGGGGGCTGGCAAGGCCGCCGATCACAAGTACTCGGGACTGTGCGGAGGTGTGGTCGGGGGGTCGGCGGGGGTGGGCGAGAGGGGAAGCACAACAGGACGTCCTCGCGGGAACAGATCGCATCATTTGGCATGGAAATGGCGGAAAGCGCCGTAGTTCCAGACGGATAAAAATGAAACATATTTTTCGCTTCCCAGCTATTTGGAAAATGGAATCACTCTGGCCTCAAACGGATCCCATTATAATGCCGGGCACGAAACTTTAGCTTGCGAAATGCAACAAACAAATTTGTTTCCCCAGCGGGCGGACGTCCACGCCAGTAATTCCACAAAGGAAACACCCGAATTCAGCTTTGAAAGACTTTTTAAAAATTCATTTTAAATGTAACTGTGGTAGCACCAGGGCGGGAGAGCAGCGCCGGAGCCCCGCGCCGGCACAGTGTCACCGGAGGCGGTACGGGAGCAACGTGGAATAGAATCGTACACTGAAAACAGAAAAAGCTTGATGGCCAAAACCGAAGTTACCTCTAAGTGTTCAACTTTTACTGCCAAACACGTCTCAGTATTCAAATCAGTCCAACACTTAAAAGTGTGCAAAGTAGAGCACTTGCATGTGCACGCCAGGTGCACACTTTATTTATCAATGAATGTTTAGGCGAGAACACAAAAACACAAAACACACAAAATCGGACACAACCATGACGCATGAATTTTTCAAAATACGTCCCACTATTTACACAACAATCTGAAACAATCAGAGACAATCATATCGACACAATCATACACAATCACACACAATCTGAAACAATGATTGTCTGCCTGGACACAGTCACGTGTACATACTTTCTTTGCCCGTTTCACACCCGTCGCTGGCAGTAGAGCACGCCCCATCCAGGCGCACCTACCTACCCCCCAAAACAATAAACACTCGACCCTGCCCCGACGAGCCTGGCCGGCGCGCGTAATGCGGGCGCCCGTCCGCGTGCTCAGTATGACGTCGCTCCGAGCCGAGGCGTCCACTCCGGCGACCAGCAGAGACGGACGACCGCAACGCTCGGCCGCCGTCTGCACTACCAACGTCACACAGCTATCTAGACGGAAAATATTTTCTTTTTTATTTATTCAATGGGATCTTGTCTTTTCGTCAACAAAAATTGTTAACGGTTATGTTTTTAAAGTGTACGGACCACCACCCGCCCACTCACCCCCTGATCGTGGCAGCCGCCCACTCTTCTAATCCCACATCTTCTCCGCGGCGACCGTCACCCGGTTTGCGTCGGCACAAATAATAACCCTCTTTATTCCTCCCGCACGACCCGTCCGCCGCCGTCCCGTTAAGTCCCTTCCGCCCGACCTCACTGGCGAGCGCGCCGCGTCGCATTTAGAAGTCCGGAGTGCAAAAAAAAGAAAGAAGAATTCACGCCATTCTTACTGTAATTATGAGAGGTAATATATCAAGCGAGTTTTTGAAACCGACAAGCCGTACAGCAGCACCCCCGACCCCCGCTGTCTCGGAAGTGAGCGGCACGCGCCCCAGCTGCACGATGGAAGCACCTCCCGAGAGCATTATTTGTTCCCATCTCCAATTTTCATTTTTATATTAAAACGAATATTTCTAACAAGTTCATCTCTCACTATTTCGCGTCGACTATCTCCCCCCCCCCGTTGTTTCCCCCCTTGACAGCCGTGGTGCTCCCGTCCGCTCGTATTACCGACTCTTACTCCGAGCAGGGGGAGAGGGAGGTGGGGGGGGGGGGGTCGAGAAAAAAAAAAGTACCGCTTCCTCATTTACATAGAAAGAAGCGGCGAGGAGCGACGCGTGGGCCCGGCCGTCGGCCGCCGCCGCCTCCCCCAAGGACGGACATAGGGCGACGCTCTCGACGTGTACCGGCTCTAACCGGACTTCATAACATAACAGTTGGAATAAATAAAAAAAGAGATGAGAGGGGGCTCGTCGGGCTCAAGGGGAGCGGGGCCGTCCACCTCACGTCCCCATACGCGCAGGCCGCCGGCGCGAGCCGACGGACCGTTTAGTCCGAATCTTTTACGGATTGCCGTTGTCGTAGCGCAAAGGGGAGACCATAAACGCGGCGACGGAGGGGCGGGAGAAGGGGTGAGGGTGGGTCGGGAATATCATAGTGCGCAGTACTGATGCAGGAGCTTGGAGACTGGCCCTGTCTGCCCCATAGGGCTTTGCTACCTTTGCGCGAGAGCGCGCGCGCGATGGCAACAGAGAGACAGAAAGGAGCGACGGGGAGTTAAAGTTTTATGGGTTCAGAGTCACGATACGGGTACCCCAACCCTACTGCTTGAGCTGAGCCCGTTCTATACAGTGGCTCCGGCGGCTTGGCTTAAAGCTGATTCGGGTCTCGAGAGAGGTCATCTTTGTCATTATTGTGACATCAGTTCGTGGGTGTTGCAGAACCAAAGAGACGCCCCCCCCCCAACCCCCCACCCTCAGCCACCGGTGGCGTCGGGCAGGGGGCGGGGGGCAGGCGGCAGGTTTGTATAGTCGATGGTCGGAAATTATTAATTCACATGAATAAATAGTATAATTTAAATCATACCATATTGCCAGAAATGATTTTGGAACCGAATCGCAGTAGGTTCGACCGTTGTGTGCAGCGTGTGCAGACACTGCAAAACAACTTTCCTTAAAAATGAGAGTGTCATATGGCTAATTCTTTTTAAAATCATTTCATCACTGTTTTTTGTTGTTGTTGTCAAAACTTCCAATGACGGGGCCGCAAAAGAAAAGTCATTCTTGTAAATTGAGAAACAGCGCGCGGCTTCTGCTCTAGCTAGTAGCATGGACGCCCTGGACGGCGCGCACTGAGCCAGCCGGGCCGGGTAAGGC